CCCACATCCTAACAGGCAGAGGCAGCATATGTTATAAATAAATTTAAATAATAAATGAGTAGGGGTGCCTGGCTGGCTCAGTCCATTGAGCGTCTGCCTTCAGCTCAGGTCGTGATCCCAGGGTCCTGGGATTGAGCCCCATGTTGGGCTCCCTGCTCAGCTGGGCCTGCTTCTCCCTCCTTCTCTGCCCTCCCCCTGCTTGTGATCTCTCTCTCTCGCTCTCTGTCAAATAAACTCTATAAAAAAATAAATGAGGCACCTGGGTGGCTCAGATGGTTAAGCGTCTGCCTTCGGCTCAGGTCATGATCCCAGGGTCCTGGGATCGAGTCCCGCATCAGGCTCTCTGCTCCTTGGGAACCTGCTTCTCCCTCTGCCTCTCTCTGTCTCTCATGAATAAATAAATAAAATATTTAAAAAAATAATAATAAAATAAATAAATGAGTAAACTGTACAGCATATTAAAGGTGATAAGTACTTTGGGAATAAGAAAAAGGCAGGGAGGAGGGACAGGGAGAAGAACACATTGGCAGCTATAAAGTCTTAAGAGTTTTATGGAGGTTATTGAAATTTGGGACTTGTGTCTCATTTAAATCTCTATCTTTTTTTTTAATTTAATTTTATTATGTTATGTTAATCACCATACATTACATCATTAGTTTTTGATATAGTGTTCCATGATTCATTGTTTGCATATAACACCCAGTGCTCCATTCAATATGTGCCCTCTTTAATACCCATCACCAGGCTAACTCATCCCCCCACCCCACCCCCTAGAACCCTCAGTTTGTTTCTCAGAGTGCATAGATTCTCATGGTTCGTCTCCCCCTCTGATTCCCCCCCAGCACATTTATAAGCAAATACAAAAGGAACAGGTGAAATCAGTAAAAATGGTGGAGAAAGTCTTTCCAAAAATTCTTTCCTCCATAAAAGCAATGAGAATACTGTAAAAAAACATTGTCAGAATCAACTTTTTTTGAATGAGCAGTGAAACAATCATGTCACTTCTTTCAGTATGTTGGTAATTAGTACCCTGTGCATTGTGTATTCGGTTCATACACACACAGCAAGAATGTAGTTGTGTTGCTTCCTTGTCTCCCAGTGATAAGCCCATATGATATTAAAAAAAAAAGATAACAGAATTGGCCAACAAAATGAAAGTGCAGCAAAGAAAAGAAAAGTTAGAAGGCTGAAAGTGAAATTCAAATTGAACATAAATGGAGTTATAGAAGAAATAGCTGATTATGGGAATGTTAACACTGCCATCATGAGAGAGTACAGATCTGCAGCCAGAGGAATTTAGTGAAGGCTACTTCATCTACAAAAGGAGGAAAGTGGCTGTGACAAAAGGGATGAAGATGTCCCAGAGGAACATGGTGCCAGCAAAAAAACACTTCTCATTCACGGAATTATTAGAGATATTTCATGAGATTGTACCTACAAAGAATAGAATGTTGGAAGTAAAAAGGAGTATGACAATTCATCAAGGCATAGTGAAGATACTTATTCCATATTATAAGAAAAAAGAGGCAGATGCCTGGCTGGCTCAGTTGGTTAAGTGTCCAATGCTTGATTTCGGCTGAGGTCATCATCTCAGAGTGGAGGGATCAAGACCCCCATCGAGTCCCAGGTCCAGCCCCGCCTCTGGCTCTGCACTGAGCATGGAGTCTGCTTGAGATTCTTGCTCCCTCTTCCCCTCCCCCTCCCCCTGCTTCAGCTCTAAATAAATAAATACCTAATACATACATACAATCTTAAAAAAAGGAAAAAGAGAAAAAAGAGGGAAGCATTGTTCAAACTATTTCTGATAAGTTTTTTTGCAAAGAAAACAATTTTCACTTTCTCTGAATGCTTGAGATTACAATGTACTAAATAAATATTAGTCTTACCATGTTTTCATTTCCCTGTACATTTATAACTGACAAAGTTTTTGATGCTTTGACAAAAAATTTTAAAGGTCACAGAACAATGGTAATTTCTCCCATTGACTATTAAGATTTCTGCTTGGTCTCAACTTGCAGTGTCATTTTTACATTCTGGCAGTACTGTGAAAAGTGAAGTTTTCTTTTTTTTAATTTAATTTTTTGGGGGATTTCTTTTTTTTTAAAAGATTTTATTTTAGAGAGAGAGTGAGAGAGAGCTCAAGTGGAGGGGAGGGGCAGAGGGAGAAGCAGATTCCCCCCCCCCCCGCCCCAGCAGAGAGCCCGATGCAGGGCTCCTGGGATCATGACCTGAGTCGAAAGCAGACTTAACTGACTGAGCCACCCGGGTGCCCCTTTTTGAGGATTTCTTACATATAAAAATTCAGCAGAAAATTATGATTAAGTATGTAAAAAGATAGCATTTCATCAACAGTAAAAGGGTAGGTGCTTCAGAAAAGGAAGCTGAGGAAGCTTGGCCATGGTCAACAGCTAGTATGTGGAAAAACCAGGATATGAATATGGGTAAGCTAACTCTACAGAATGTGCTCTTAACACGTATAATATGTTGTCTTCTCATGGTATATATCCAATATATGGTTTCTTCCATAAGGATTTTGAATTCATAAAAAATCTAAAATTTTATACATTAGGAAAGAACATACATGAAATTAAATGGCAAAGTACAGACTGGGAAAACCAAGGTATAGTAACACCCGACATGACAAAGGTATTCATCTATAGGATTTAGTACCTTAGTTACCAAGACAGCAGGCTTTGGCAGTGGCAGACCACCATCCAAATCCTAGCTTCATTATTTACTACTTGTCTGACACTGGGCAAGTTATTTAATTCATTTTTTGCTAGGTTTCTCATCTGGAAATGGGGACAATAAGAGCATTTACTTCATAGAGTTGTTAAGAAGATAAAATAATAGATGTACAGCAGTTAGCACAGTGCCTTGCTGTGCTTATTACTTTAGTACTGTGCAGAGATTGTTATAAATCAGTAAGAAAAGTGTAATAAAACCAATAAACAAAAACACAAAAAGGGCAGTTAATAAAGAAGAAACAGTTGCTCAGTAAATAATCAAAGCAGTGCAAATTAAAATAACAATCACCATTTTTCAGCATATTATCAAAAAATATTTTTAAGTGTTAATGCCCAAGGGTGGTCAGTTTAGGAAATAGACACTAAAGGGAGTAAAATTGATACATCCTGGCGATTTGGCAGTTTGATGATGAGTTTAGGATGTTATTCTAAGGAAATAATCAAATAGGTATGAAAGGATATATGCATGAGGATGTTTATTGTATTATTTGTAGTTTTCAATATAAAAAGTTTGTAGACAACCTTAATGTCCATCTATAGAGGTGGCTTTTTTTTTTTTTTTTAAACTAAGCTCTGTGCCCAACATGGGGCTTGACCTCGTGGCCCTGAGATCAAGAGCTGCATTCTCTATAGACTGAGCCAGCCAGGCGCCCCAGCAGAAGGTTTTAAATGAGTAGAAGTTATGAAAACTTCTTAAAATGTAATAAAATGCAGCCAGTAAAAATAATAGTTATAGTGAGTATCCCCCTTGTCCCAGTGACCATCGTTTCCTGCTTGGATTACTCCCTGCTTCCAGGTTCCCCTTCTCAACTCATTCTCTACACAGATGCCAAAGGCAAATCTAATCATGTCACTCCCTTGCTTGACACCCTCATGGCTGGTCAATGTATAATCCTAAAACAAGCCTTTGAAGCTGGAGTCTCTTCTCTCTCTTCCCTTTACAGTCTGGTAGGACTCAACGTGCTTCTTGGCTGGACTTTGTGCCCAGTTTTTCTCCCTGATTCAGCATTCCACTGAGCCCCACTGGTTAGTATCACCCTCCTCTGTCTTCTAACAATAACTTTTGCTACTTCTTTGGAGCTCTTACATAAAGGCTATTAAATGTTGTTTATGCAATTATTTGTTTAATATACTGTTTCCTCTCCCATTAGAGTTTAAATTCCAAGAGAGCACAAATTATCTGTTTGGCCAATATTTTCCCCACTGTACCTAGTATAGTGCCTGACATAGATAGGTGTTTGATGCATTTACTGAATGAATGGATGAAAAGCAAGCTACAAAATATGCAGTGTGAGCCCAATTTGGTAAAAGGGGGACCAAAGACTTAAGTGGCCAGTACCAAAGACACAGAAACAGACTACCTCCAGCAGGTGTATGCTGGCCATGCTCTTCCCTGAGCACAGAAGGGGAATGATATCTCTGAGGGTGCAGGATGCACAAGAGCGGAGGGAGCTTGCTGGGAAGAACAGAGCTGATGGGAGCGTGGCTTCTGGGGCTCCTACCCTTCCAGCTCCCTGGGCAAGAAGAGGCTGCTGGAAAAGGAAGGTATGTCTCCCGTGGACCACCCAAGGCACAGGAATTGGGGAGCCACAAGATGAGGGCTGCCTGGGAGGCTCAGCTGGGGTGTCAGACTCAAGAGTTATGGGGAGATAGGCCTTGGATTACACGCAGCCCCAGGGGGCAGGGCTCAAGGCCAAGGCCTGGCGTTTCCTAGCCAGGGTAGCGTGGAGAAGCGTTGGGAGAATGCCACTTCCCTTGAGACTGCGTTTGACATTGACTCCTTCCGCTGGGGGAGGGGGGCTGGTCTCTATGTGCCGGAGATCTCTCACCTGGTACTTGTTCTTAAAGACAGCTTCTTAGCTGTGTGGTAACTAGAGGCAGTGTCGGGTGTGGATGGGTAGCTATGCTGCTGCGTCTTTTGTCAAAAGTTTGACCTGGCTGGTTTATCAGCCATCTCAAGGCTTTGTCTTTTACGATGTCAAGTTCTTCTGCCCACCTGGTTCCTGAAGGTGGGCTCCCACCCTCCAAATCACCACACCCATCCCAGAAGATGCCAGGCGAGGCTCCGTGAACCACTCCTCCCCATAGTAGCACCCTTATTTCCCTGCTCAGCTTCAGATTTAATGTTTGTCACTGTGAAGACCCACCACTCCCACTTGACACACAATCTCCCTGGCTTCCAGCCCAGGTCCCTGAAGTCCTAGAAGAACCTTCCCTGCCATTCCCCAGTAGCCCAATAAACACATTCTGAAGGAATGAATACATCCATTTATTAAACTTTCCCATGTGTAAGACCTTCTTTGATGGAGTGTCATGGAGGCCCTTAAGGAAGGGAGGACTGGGGCAGGGACCTGCGTTAAGACTTAGGAGCAGGTTTAAAGTCTAGGCTTTGAGTTGGGTGAAAGGGAGCTACTGAAGATTTCAGAGAGGACATAACTGGCCTTAACCTTGCACCATGTTGGGGATGACACAGCAGATGGGGAATCAGCCTGGAGGTGATGCGTCAGGGTTGAATATGGTGTGATGGTGGTGGTAGTAAAGATTGAATGTTGAGTAGATGTAGGTTCTGAGCCAGGGAAGGTGGTGGCACTTTGTCAGTTAAGACTGGGTTGGAGGAAGGGCAGAGCTCACACTTTGGGTATGGAGGGAGAGGAGGAAAAGGTAAGTATGTGAGGGAGAAGGTGCTCAGCTGCTGCTTCATTCCTGGGGCAGGTGACCAAAGAGGATGGCCATTACTCTCTATCTATCCCTGATGCCTTGTCTGGGGAGGAGCCTCCACTATCCTCCAGAGGTTTTAGCTTTGAATCCAGGCTGAAGCCAGAGAAAAACAAGGAGAAAAAAGGAGGAGCAAAAAAAAACAAACAAAAAAACCCCCCTAAAACAAAAAGCCCCCTAGACACCCAAAAAACCAAAAAACAACCAAACCCTGAAGTCCATGGGGTGGGGAGCTAGAAGGCCCCCTTCAAGTAGCTCAGGCCTGGCAGCTTGTGCTGGGCTTGTGGGAAGATTCCCTCACACAGAGGCTAAATAACTCGGGAAGCAAGCCCGAGCACGTATACGGCTTGTGGGTCACGGGGCTGGGCCACCAGGGTCAATCAACCGCCCCCACTCCAACTAGACACACGGGTGTACTGTCTTTCGGAGCGTGTCAGCTCAGGTCAGGAGCGCGCAGACCCCAACCGGTCCAGGGACTGTGTCTTCACCCTGTGCGCCGCCTAGTGGGACCTGTGCAGGCACAGTCCCGCTGGCCCGAGGCTGCCCCCTGGCGCCCCCTCACTCTTCCCAAGGGCTCATGTCGGTGTCAATGGCCACGCAGTTGTACGCTGCATAGCGGAGCTTCTCCTCACACACCTTGGCACTGAGGGAGACGGGGACGTGGTCAGCGCCAGGTGCAGAGGTCCTTCCATCGCCACCAGGGCCAGTGCACACGGGCTAGGGGCAACGGGACTCCAGTTCGTGCACTTCAGTACTCGAAGTCCTCCTCCATCCTAGGATGCCGCTCCTTCCCCCACTCCCCACTCTCTAGGCTCCAGCCTAGGAGACCCACCTGGCGTAGTGCGGTAGGAAGAGTGTGCTGGAACAAGTGGAAGACTCTGGCAGTGCGTCTGTGGTTTCGTAGCTGGGGGCATGGACAGGCCACAGGTTAGGAAGAGTTGTAGGGACACAGGGTAGGGGTCTGATGTCTGAGTGTGCGGGGAGAAGGCAGAGCCAGCCACAGCCCCTCTGGCAAGCAAGCCTCGCCCGGCTCTGGCCCCACTCACCCCAGTTTGTCTGGGTAGATGTAGATCCGTGCTGGCAGCCGGCTGCGGCCAGTGACAAAGCGCAGGAAGCGGCTCCGATCCTCTGGACAGAGAACGACATCAGGGTCCGCAATGACGGGGGCGGGGTGCGTGTGTGTGTCCACAACTTTTGCCCTGCCTCGGTATCCCACAAGTGGAATCCGAGCCCAGGCATCACTCTCTCCTCTTCCACTCACCGTTGGTGAAGTTGTTCAGTGCTTCCCAGAAGTACTGCACCCGAGTGTCTGATGGCTCGAAGTCCTCAAACCGGGCTGGGGACGAGGTCAGATTCGTTCTTAGGTCCCAACCTACCTAGTCCTTAAGCCCCCAGCCCAGCACTGCCCTGCCCCACACTCACTGAGCTTGCGCAGAGCGTCCACGGTGACCTCTGGGTCCCCGCACACCTTCTTTTCCAGTTCCTGCCAGGTCAGCAAGTCCAGCACAGCCTGCGGCACCACCTTCAGCAGACCTGCCTGCATGGCTGCCAGCTGGGGAGGGAGGGAAAGGCCTGGCTAGGGAAGGGGGTACAGCTCCCGAGTCAGTGTGTGGTGGGATACTTGGCCTCCACTCACAGAGATAATGGGGGACATGATCTTTGTTCAGCACTGCGGGCCATCTCTGAACCCCCCTGAAAAGCAGGAATGTGGAGCAGAGGAACGGTGGGGGCCAGAGTTCTTGTGATCGGGTACTGGTGGCCTATCAGGCTGGGCTCTGCCTATTAGGAGCTGTGCAAAGCCCTCTGTTCTGCCGGCCTCTGGGTGGTACCTGCTCCTTGCTCTCTTCGAGCCGGGTCTTCTGCACCAGTTGGATGAAACGGGAACGGTCCTCGTATCCCACCACGATGCCTGCACCCCCAGGGATCAACTCTACTACTTGCTGATCACTCAGTACAGTGGTGAATGTTAGCTCCTTCCCAAATTTGAACTCAAATGTCTCCTTGTCCATGCCTTCCATCACTTCCAAGAGCTTCACCTGGGGGTTGGAGAGAGGCAAGGAGGTTGGCCTTTCATTGTGGAGACAGTCCTTGTTTTCTCTCAAGATGCTGACAGGGAAGCAGGAGAGACAGCTAGACAAGGCAGTCCCCATGCGGGCGGATGAGGGCAGTGAGGGGGTCGGAACAAGGACTGTGAAAGCATCAAGACAACACCTCGCCAGCCTTGGCTGCCAGGGAAGGTGTCCTGGAAGAAATGGCATCAGTGGACAGTGGTGCCATTCTGAGACAGCCCTAGAGGGCAGTAGAATGGGGAGGTGATGAAGACTGTGCTGAGCCTGAGGTGCCATCCTGGGGCAGACGTCTAGCAGGCAGATGCATATATGGGTCCAGGCTTAGGAAAGAGGCTGGAGTTAGAGGTAAGGATTTGGGGATCACCAGAATAAAGACAGTAGTTGAAACCATGGGAATAGAAGGAATTGGCAAAGGAGCATGTGTGAGGTTAGAGAAGGTTCAGGACACCCTTGGGGAACAGTGACTTTCAGGGGCTGTGCAGAGGAAACACCGGGTCCAGGCCCTACTTACCAGTACGGAGTCCACAGCTGGGAAGTCCTTGCTCCAGCTCACCTCCTCACCAGAGAGCTGCTTCCACACAAAACCAGGCAGAGCCAGGACCTATGGGACAAATACTACTGTATTCTCATCTTGGGCTGCCCAGGTTTAGCTGGCCCTTCTTCCTTCCAGGGGCCGGGCTGATCTGATGGAGGCGGAGATTAGGCTACTCACCAGGAATTCCTTACCCCGAAGGGCAGCCCCCATCAGCTGTCCGATCCACTCGTATTTGGCAAAGTCTCGGCAGGAGGGGTTGGGCACGTACATGTCCCGGGCCTCACCAGTGCCATTGCCCTGCTCCAAGACAGAGCTGTTAGCATGGCGTGGAATGGACCCTACTTTGTTGCCCCAGACTCTCCAAAGACTTGCCTGCACACCTTCCACCGGAGGCCCTGAATGATCCCTCTGACTGCTCCTCCTTCCCTGTCTGCCCAGAGGCTGCCCCAGGCAACTTGGTCCCTCCTCTGCCCCCTCTCTAGGTCAGCACCTGGGAGGTTTGCAGAGATGAGCAGCAGAAACAACTTGAGAAGTAGGGATAGGAGATTACCTGGTTGGCTGTGCGCACGAAGAAGGGCAGAGGCACAGGGGTGTCTGCTGAGCTAGGGCACAACTCTTCTGACATGTCTGCCAGGCTATCCCGAAAACCACCCCCTGAAATGACAGACAGATGCTCTCAGCTGGGGCATTCAAGAGCCCCAGCCCCCATAAAGAGGTAATAAATAGGTCCTCTATCTTGATTAGCTGTGATCCCAGAAGCCTCTACCACTCTAAATAGGGCAAGACCCTCATTATCCTACCTCAGGCACTCACCTTGGTCAATGATGCCTTCTGCAATGAATTTACACTCCCACCACTGGTCATAGCGCATGGGCCACCTGTAAGAAGGGGTGGATTTTTGTTACCATGCTGGGTCAGGGTTTAGGACATTTCACCAGCCCAGACCCCAGCCAGGAGTAGGGGCCACAGGGGTAATGGTGAGGGGTTCCAGAGGCAGTGTGCGGGGATGTATAGTTTATGTGGGCATAAACTTATGCCCATATAAACTTATGTGGGCATATCCAGACGTGGATATCGCACCAGACTGGTCGGCCCTCACCCTCATGCCATACCTGTAGTCCAAAGGCTTTTCATACTTGTCAGAGGGCTTGAGGCCTTCATAAACCTGGGGGCAGGGGAAAGGGAAGGGAGTTGTAGGGAAGTCTGTGTCAAGATCTTGCCCCACTCTGGCCCAAAGACCTTACTTAGGTCCCTCATGGCCCAGCTCCCAGACCCTTTATTGACCCTCCCTTCAATCGACCCCAGGTGGTCCAGACCTGGGTGAAGACTGCATTCTTGCAGGCAGGGTCCCTTAAGGGGCAGGCACGATGCTCCATGGCGAGGCGCCGGTTGATGTACAGGCGTGGCATGAAGCTGGGCTTGCTGCTCTCGGAGTCACGCAGGCACTGGGCCACCAGGCCTGGCCTCTGGCGTGACAGCAGCAGGAACTGCTTCACTTGCTGGTGAAGAGAGGCGGCCAGAGCAAGACTGGCAGGCAGTCAGTGTCTGTCCAGGCTTTGGGACCTTCCTCTACGCCTGGACCCAATTCCATAATTCCAGCCCATGCCTAGTCCATCCCCTCCACCACGCTCCCCTTCCTTGTTTCCAGTTCCTCCCTTAGTCCAACCACCAGGGGGAGCTTTCTAAAACAAAAAAAATCAAACTTTGTCATTACCTACTTAAAACTTTTCTGAAGGCTCCACTGACCTAGGACATAGTCCCTCCTTCACAGCCTGGCCCATGGTGCCCTCTGCTATCAGGGCCCGCTGTTTGCCTGCCCAGCCTCATCCCCAAGTCATACTCACATCTACCTGCGCGCTTCTCTCCGGTCATCCTCAGCAGCTAACAACTCCCAGCATGTACCTTTTCCGCAGCTTCCCCTGTCTATGCTGATACTTCTCCTCCCTCAGCTCTTATATATTTCACATACTATCTGGGAGAACAGCATCCCAAACACTACATTTTAACTATTTGTGTCTGGCTTTCTTCCTACATTCCTAGAGCCCAGCAAAGGTCCAGACCTAGAGCAGGTTTTAGGAAGTCTGTAGAAGAGAGAACACTTGCATGAGCAGAAGGAGGAGCCCATTGCTGACACCAATACTGGGGGGGGCCAGGCTCACCTTAATCTCACTGAAGGTGCCCAGCGTGTGGTCCCAGGCAGGTACCAGGTGGTGCAGGACACTGTCTAGGATCTTTATGAATCTGGGGTGAGTGGGTAAAGATAATGCAACTAAAGAGGGTGGCACAGATTTAAGACCCCCTCAGCCCCCAACACGAGGATGGGAGAAGGCGGGACCCAGGATCTGCTCTGACACTCTTGAAGTGGAACAGCTTACAGTATAGGGCCTGGGGAACCTCCTTTATACGGACAAAGATGGTTCAGGGTTGGGGGAAGGAAGGCCGGGCAGGCACAGGACCACACCCACCTCTGCAGGAGAACAGCTCTGCGGTACAGGACTTCAGGGTCAGTGCCTTCCAGACGTGGATATCGCACCAGACTGGTCGGCTGGAACAGGTCTGCATTCAACCCTAGTTCCCGCTGTCTAGATGACTTGATCTTGATCCCTCGAAGACGCACATCAATCCCATCATCTGGGGGAAGAAGTCAGAGTGAGGTTACTTAGGGCACCAGCTGCCTCCTCGGCCCTCAGACCTGAGAATGGCTCCTGAATGCTCAGGCTTTTGTTACCTTTAGCCCCTAGAAACCTGGGACCTTTGAGATCCCCTTCTGTTCATCTGACTCTGATTATCATATTCTTTGCCGGTCCCTCCATCCATCCCTATAATATTGGAATGCCTGAGGATCCCAACTCAGTTCCTCTTCAGATGAGCCCAACCACTTCAACGGCTTTAAGGCAGGCCTATACCTGGTGTCTCCCATCTGGCTCAGGCCCAAAGCTTCACATCTTGGAGTTAGTTCAGCTATCATCCTCATCCCAACTCCAAGCCCATTTCTTCTCCTTACTCACTAGCAGCTAGCCACTATCTGTACACTGGGATTCCCTTCCCCCCTTATTTCCTGAAGCCCTACCTCGGCACTCGACGATGCGGATCTCGATGACTGGAAGGTGAACGGTCATGTCCTCCAGGACACATACATCCCCGATCAGGGTCCTGAGGAGATGGATGTTAGGCACTTTGAATACCCCTTGCCTTCAGGGATTGCTGGGCTTTCACCTGACCTTATACTTCCAAGTGGGGCCAGGCCCCATTGCTAGGATCATGCCTCATTTCCCCTCCAGACCAGCTTGTTCACTCACTCATCAATGCTCACGTCACTCAGCTTCTTCAGGTTGTCTCCTTCGCCCCCATAGATCACTACTCGCTTTGGCATAAAGTTGTCATCTGTGGTATCCACTGTGAGTAGCAGCTTCCTGGGTGGTCAGAGTATGCACACGGATCTCTGTACACTTACAGGCATGCGGCCCACCCACTCTGTCCTACCTCAGAGTCCACTCACTTGACAATGGTGCCCTTTTTCATGGTAAGCCGTACCCAGTGCTGGCACTGGGACCCATCACTCTCCCAGTAGGTGTCTGCATTGCTGTCTGTCAGGCAGGACACATTGAACTCCTCCTGGGGAGGGGCAGAGACGTGGAGAGTGTTTACCCCACTCCCTGCACATGGAGCTGGGTTAAAAGCACAGCTGGTATGGGGGGAAGTGTCTAGGGATTCCTACAGGACTTCCAAAATGGGGTGCTGGACTGAGTCTGGCCTGTGGGGATTTAGGTTTGGTCCTGGCCTCAAGGTGAGGGTTCTGGATCTAGCAAGAAGTGACATCTTGCTTGGGGTGGGAGGAGTCCCAGAACCCACCGTGTAGGAGGAAACGTCTATGCTCTCCACATACTGCTTCACGCTACCCAGGTTCTCATCCTCCTTGCCCAGGTGGTCGTACAAGAAGTGGATCAGGTCCTCGTCGCACTCGTAGGTCCACGTCGGGGGCACATAGCTACGCAACCCCAAGTCCCTAATTAGGTCAGGCCCAGTCCTGGAAATTCTTCCTCCCTAGCCCACCCCAGCTCACTCACAGTAATCTTTGTACAGCTTCCGTGTATGCCTCGGCTGGCTGGGGCCTTGATCCAAGGCGATGAGAGTATGTCAGGTCCACCACCTGTTCCCATCTGTGGGCACAGAGTAGGGAATGGGGAGACATCAGTGGGCAGCGGGACACCCCCAAAGAGCTTTCTCCAGAGCTCAATCTCCACCAGACTGTGCCTCCAGAAGCTACACCCCAGCCCCATTCAGGCCCCGCCCCTTCCTGCCTTTAACCCTGCCTTCACTCCATATCCCACCTCCCGGCCTGTGCCCGCCTAGTTTCCAACCCTTCCGGGCCAAGCCGTCCAGCAGCAAGCCTCGCCCCTTCAATTGCAGGACCTAAGCACCGGTCGGTAGTCCACGCCGAAGAGCTGCTGCTGCCGTTGGAGGTGGTCTGGAGTGTCGATGGGTACGAGGCGGGCCCCGCCCTCCGCCGGTCGGCACACCAGCAGCCAGCCTTCGTTGAGCCCGCAGTCGCCCAGGTGTTCTGCCAGCTGCTCCTGCCGAGACGCGCAAGGCAGGCACCGCCGTCAGGGAACTGCCCAGCTGCCCGCCCTGCCCGGCCCAAGGCAAAGGACACTGAACGCAATGCTAGCTCAAGATGGGGGATGGGAAGAGAACAGCCTGGGGCTTCCCTGGCTCCGGGGGTCTTCTGCGGGGCCCAGGGCAGGCCAGGGGGTACCTTGGTCAGCTTCACCCAGAGCCCGTGGCCGTTGCACAGTTCCTCGCCCGTAGTACGCACGCAGGCGCCGCGCCGAAGCTCAATGCTGTCCCGGGCAGCGCGGAGGGGCCCGGAGCCGGTACCAGGGGCGGAGCCCGCGGCTCCCACACGCAGCCCCAGGCCTTCCGCCTCCCACACCGGCAGCAACACGCGCGACGGACCCGCCGGGTCCTTGTAAAGCTTGTAGAGCACCTCGCGTGGCACGAAGGCCAGCGCCGCCGGCAGCGGCCGTCCGGCGCGGAGACTCTGCGCTGCCTCTGCCAGGAAGCGCACGCGGCCCAGTAACTGCCGCGGGGACTCCAGAGCCGCGCCCGGCCCTGGGCCTGCCATGGTGAAGTGGCAAAGGAAAGCCCAGGGGCGGCGGTTCGGCTCGGGGAGCCGCCGCCGCCGCCGCCGCGAAGGCTGACCAAGCTTCCCACCACGCTCCGCCCCGCCTTCGGCCAGCCTTCGCCGTAAGTTCTGGACTAAGGGCACCCCGCGCGCCCGCCGTATTACCCTGTGTACTCGGATACTTAAACTTACTACAAACCAATGTGCCTCGCACTGAGCCAACCAGACCCAAGTTCAGTTGTCTTTACCTGATCCATTTCTTCCTGTCCATCCTCATTGCTGCCACCATTTTATACCCTCATTGAACCACCATTCTATCTAGCCTGGATCATTGCAACAGACATTTTTCTGGTTCTCTGGCCTGTTTTTGCCTTCCCACCCCCACGAGTCATACTCCAACCAGAAGAATCTTTAAAAATCTAATAGACATCCTCTCAGGCTCCTCATCCTAGGGGCAGTGTTGCTAAAATGTTTGGGGGGAGAATAATCCCCTCCTCAGCCCTACCACTGACAGGAGTCTTGAGTCATTCGGGGTTAATCCTGGTGGTTACTCCTAATTCTAGGACACTGGTGGTCATTATGCAGTTTCTCCCAGTAATTCTGAACCAGATGAGAGGAAAGGTCCCATGTGGGAAGATAGGTCCAAGGTGGCTAGATAGGATGGAGGCAAAAAAAATGGACAGGAGCTGTTGGTGAAGTATAATCATGGAGGAAAAGGAAATTGTCTCCCGCCCTCCCTTGCAAACAGCTTTAAAAAAGTTTTATTGATATATAATTCAGGTTCCATATAAGTCACCCATTTAAAGTGTACAATGGTTTTTGATATATTTTTAAAAATTGTGGTAAAATAAGTGTAAATTTGTTGTTAGCCATTTTAAGAGTACAATTACCTATTCCCAAAACTTTTCATCATTCCAAGCAGAAAGGCCTTCTCTTTAAGCAATAACTTCTCATGGCCTGCTCTGTAAACTCTACTTTCTGCCTCTATGAATTAGCCTATTCTAGATATTTCATAAATGGAACCATATAATATTTGTCCTTTTGGGTCTGTCTTATTTAACTTAGCATAATATTACAACAATATTATAGCATGAATAGAACTTAATTTTTTTTTTACAGGTCGACTAATATTCTGTTTTATGTACATACTACATGTTGTTTATCCATTCATCTGTTGATGGACACTTGGATGGAAGCTTTGTTTTGGGATATAGTTTTCAAATAATCAAAATTATCAAGAAAGAAAGAATATATGATCCCATGTAATTGTGACAGTTTTCCTTTTTTTTTTTTTCCTCCCTAGGAAGTTGGGAACATAGTGCCCCTCTTCCCTTCTCTCCAAGCTATCTGTATGCTACCATGCTACTACAGAATAAAGTGGACAAATGAATCTCACAAGAGCCCGCATGACCTGGACCCTGAAGACATCTCTAGCCTCTTTAATTCCACCAGATTGGTCTTCCGGTTCCCATAATAGCCATTTGTTCTTTTGCATCTTCTCTTTGCACATGCTGTTCCCTCTGCTTGGAACACCCCCACAGCTTTGCCCAGTTAAGGAAGGAGGCTTGCTAGCTGCTTCTAGCCTTTTCCTCTTAAAACATTTTGATTGCTGATCCACCAGTCTGTAGCTCCTTAAAGGAAAGGGCTGTCTTGATGACCACTGTAACTTCTGCACCTACTATAGGGCCCGCCTCTTAATAGATAATACATATTTTTTAAAGACTGAGAAAGAGGTGCCTGCACACACATGAGTGGGGGTACCGGCAGAGGGAGAGAATCCCAAGCGGACTCCCAGAGGAGTGTGGAGTCCCACTGGAGACTCAATCTCAGGACCCAGGAGATCATGACCTGAGCCGAAATCACAAGTCCCACACTTAACCGATTGAGCCACCCAGGTGCCCCAGTAATATACATATTAAATTATTTCATTTCCCTGTACAGCTTGGTTCTTTAATCCACTGTGTGCCTGGTCGCTAGGCATAAGATTTTTAGAATCATGGAGCAGGGGAGTAAAATGAGCCTCGGCCGAAATTTCCGGATTTCCAAGCCATCAGAGGAGAGGAAATTCCTGATGCCACGGTAAGGTGTAGTTATTTGCGGAGTTCTTGGCGGGCGGGGCGTTCGTTGCTGCGACGCTACAGCTGACTTTACGGTGGAGAGAGGTTTTGGAGGGGGGGGGGGGGTCCTCCAGGCAGCAGCCGGGGCAGCCCCGGAGCTAAAGGCCCGTGTCTGATCATGTGACTTTCAACATGGCGGCGGCCTTGGCTCATTCCAGGAAAGGGTGGAGCCTGATCTCACAGGCTCCGGTTGAGGTTAAAGTGGGGACTGTGCTCGCAGTTACCGAAGGCTTATCATGGAGGCAAACGGGTTGGGGTGAGTTCTCTGCACCACGCGGTATGGCCCGCGTGGCTTCTGACCTGAGTCTTCCATCTCAGGAATCTGTCCCTATACCTCTCTTTCCCCACTATGGAGAGCTCCCCACCCGACTCCTCTCGCTGGAATCCCTAATCCTCCACCCATGGATTCCAGAGACTTTCATTTAGGGGATGCCTCCAGGATTTTCTAGTCCTCAGTTACGATCCGTATTTTGGGACCGTCTTCTGTTTTCTCATTCACTGTCCCCTAGCCTGGGGATCTACCAGCTTCCGATTGGTAGCCCTGTTCCTGAGATTTTCTGGTCCAAAGACCTCGATCAGTTCTAACTGGGCTATCATTCCGCCCTTCCCCCAGTTTCTCCAGTGGCTTTGAGCTGGGGGAAGTTGGGGCTGTGTGGAAGATACAGGCCCCAGCGCGGGCCCTTCTAGTCTTGTGTACCATCTGATAGGCAAAGACGAGGTGGAATGGGCGGGGAGCCAAAGCTTAGGAACTAGCTGGAGAAAGCCGATAGTGGTGTTGGAATGAATCCGCCTTAAGAACCCAGGCCATGGGGCGCCTGGGTGGCTCAGTCGTTAAGCGTCTGCCTTCGGCTCAGGTCATGATCCCAGGCTCCTGGGATCAAGCCCCGTTTTGGGCTCCCTGCTCGGCGAGAAGCCTGCTTCTCCCTCTCCCAACTCCCTCTGCTTGTGTTCCCTCTCTCGCTGTCTCTTTCTGTCAAATAAATAAATAAAATCTTAGAAAAACAAAAAACAAAAAACCCAGGCCTTCCCCAACCCCTGGCCTAGCTTACTGACACCTACCCCCGCCCTCTCCTGATCTCCAGATCCCAGGGTTTTCCAGAGCTGAAGAATGACACGTTCCTGCGAGCAGCCTGGGGAGAAGACACAGACTACACTCCCGTTTGGTGCATGCGGCAGGCAGGCCGCTACTTACCAGGTCAGGGTCAGGGCCCGGGAATCTAAGTGAAACTCTGGAGGGTGAAAAGATTTTGAGGGGTAGGGGAGGGATCCAGAGGTTCCCTAAGGTTGAGAGCTCTGGGGCGCCTGGGTGGCTCAGTTTTTAAGCATCTGCCTTCGGCTCAGGTCATGGTCCCAGGGTCCTGGGATCAAGCCCCGCATTGGGCTCCCTGCTCAGTGGGGAGCCTGCTTCTCCCTCTCCCACTCCCCCTGCTTGTGTTCCCTCTCTTGCTGTCTCTCTCTCTGTCAAATAAATAAAATCTTAAAAAAAAAAAAAAAAGGTTGAGCCCTGCTTTTCTTCTTTTGTCTGCAGAGTTTAGGGAAACTCGGGCTGCTCAGGACTTTTTCAGCACCTGTCGCTCCCCAGAGGCCTGCTGTGAATTGACTTTGCAGGTGAGGCCTTCACAAAAAAGGGAGGGACTTATGCCCTCAGCTTGCCTCCTAGTAACCTGTCTTCTATTCCCTACAGCCACTGCGCCGCTTCCCTCTGGATGCTGCCATCATCTTCTCTGACATCCTTGTTGTACCCCAGGTACCCGCTCAAACCTGATGGGTAAGAAAGGGTAAAGATAATCAAGGCTCAAGATAAGCCCTTATCCTCACTGGACAGAGGAAGAAACTTGTGCTGAAAGAGATGGAGTTGGGCCAAGTTTCATTCTCCTTTTCTTCCTTCTTGGTGTGGGCTGAACAGAGCCTTTCCTCCTAGAGTTACAGGTTGGGAATCCAGATATTTTCTTCCCCTCCAGGCACTGGGCATGGAGGTGACTATGGTGCCTGGCAAAGGGCCTAGCTTCCCAGAGCCATTAAGAGAAGAGCGGGACTTAGAACGTCTCCGGGATCCAGCATCAGTGGCCTCCGAGCTGGGCTATGTATTCCAGGCCATCACCCTCACCCGACAACGGCTGGCTGGGCGTGTGCCGCTGATTGGCTTTGCTGGTGCCCCGGTAATGTGGAACAGGGCAGGGACTTGGGCATGGGGAAATCACTCTGGCGGGTCTGGTGTAGACAAGGGAAGTAAGTATCAGTCTGGTTTCTACACCTGTGACATTCTCTGTATCCTTTTGCAGTGGACTCTGATGACATACATGATTGAGGGTGGCAGCTCAAGCACCATGGCTCAGGCCAAGCGTTGGCTTTACCAGAAACCACAGGCTAGTCACCAGCTGCTTCACATTCTCACTGATGCTCTGGTCCCATATCTGGTGGGACAAGTGGCCGCTGGTGCCCAGGTGGGTCCTGAAAGAGAGAGAAAGGCTGGGATCTAGAAGAATGAGAAGCAGTAGAGTTCCTTACACCTGAGAGGGTAGGTGTCTTAATGCCAGGCAGGAAGGAAGCTTGGCCTACAATGATCTGACTGGAGCACCTAGGTCCACCTTGTCATTGACATTGGCAATGCTATGTGTTCAAAGACCAAAGCTAGCACTGGGATGTAGAGAAGGCAAAACTGGATTTACAGGCTTAGGCAGTATGAGGGTCTAAAGTCACTAGGGAAAAATTTGAGATACGTTGTGTGTGGGTCCTGAGATACTTTGTGTGTTATGTATTTCTCTTCACCAATCCCCCCCCCCCCCCCCCCCCGCCAACTGTAGGCATTGCAGCTCTTTGAGTCCCATGCAGGGCATCTTGGCCCACAGCTCTTCAGTCAGTTTGCGCTGCCCTACATCCGTGATGTGTCCAAGCTCCTTGGGAGCACTTCTCTGCTCAGAAAAGCCTCTCCAGGACACCAAGGAACGCACCACCCCCCCCCCCCCCCCCCGCCGCCAACTGTAGGCATTGCAGCTCTTTGAGTCCCATGCAGGGCATCTTGGCCCACAGCTCTTCAGTCAGTTTGCGCTGCCCTACATCCGTGATGTGTCCAAGCGGGTGAAGGCCAGGCTGCAGGAGGCAGGCCTGGCACCAGTGCCCATGGTAAGGATGGGGCTGGAGTAAGTGAAGGTGGGCCTGTGGCACTTTCGGGTATGTCCTGTATGGACTGAAGTGACCACTGGAGGGCAGCAGAGGTGCAGCCAAGATAAGTTATTGGGCATAGGAAGGCCCTTTGTAGCCTCAGAGATCCGTCCTTTCCCTCAGATCATCTTTGCTAAAGATGGACATTTTGCCCTGGAAGAGCTGGCCCAAGCTGGCTACGAGGTGGTTGGGCTCGACTGGACAGTGGCCCCAGAGAAAGCCCGGTGAGTAATAAAGGGTGAGGTGGAGAGGGTGCAGCTGCCATACGTGCAGTCACCAGAACATGGCGCTGACTTTGCTTTCAGGGAACGTGTGGGAAAGACGGTGACCTTACAGGGCAACCTGGACCCCTGTGCTCTGTATGCATCTGAGGTAATCAGGGTCCCTATGTGTGTGAGTCTGTATACTCCCATGGTTGTGGATATGGTTGTATTAATGTGTGTGTGTCTTTATTGTATGTTTGTCCCTCTATACATATCATGTGAACCCTAGGAAAGCAGGAATTTCTTTTTATAGTTGTCTGGCTCATACTAAGCATCCAGTAAATTTTTTGAGTTAATGACTGAATGACTCAATAACACTGAGTAGAAGCATGCCTACATGTTGTATGTGTCACAGTTATGTGTAGGGAGTACAGGGGCTTGCTGGCCCCCTTGTAGCCAGTGCCCTGTTGGTCCTCCAGGAGGAGATCGGACAGCTGGTGCAGCAGATGCTGGATGACTTTGGGCCACAGCGCTACATTGCCAACCTGGGCCATGGACTTTACCCTGACATGGACCCAGAACACGTCGGGGCCTTTGTGGATGCTGTGCATAGACACTCACGTCTGCTTCGACAGAACTGAGCATACACCTTTTCCCTCAACTACCACTAACAAAGATGATTGTTTCCAGGAGAATAAAAGTTGTAGAGTTGGAATCTAACATATGGTTTCATTTGTGGAAGATCTTTGCACTTATCCTCAGTTCCTTCTTAGCCTCTGCTTCTTCTCTGGGGCCCCTTTTTTGTATCTTCTCCTCCAAGTCATAGGAGCTCAAATATCAGTGAATATGTACTGTAGGACTCAATGTCAGGGCCCTCACTACCATGTTGCTCTCAGCTCTCCAAGCCTGAGGGCTACATGGGGTTGGGTAAAGCTTCCTGGCGCTGAAGCTGTGACATTTGCAGAGAAATGGGGTCCCCACAGCATAGAAGGCCAAATTGACAGAGCTTTGTGTCTGGGGATGGAGGGGAGTATAGATCAGAGAGGGGCACAGAAATTTCTAGAATATTCTAGAGAGGCTTGTTGGGGAAGATGGAATCTAGGTGAGCAGGGAGAAGCTGAGAGGACTTCAGCTTTGACACCAAAAGATGGGGGAGGGCTAGGATTCTTAGGAGTAGAGACTTAGACTTGCATCTTTGAGGCCAGAAGGCCTCTGAAGCCAAAAGGTGCTACGGTACTCAGGGTTGCTCTGCATTCTTTTCTGAGCATACCCTCTAATTTTCTCAGGACTTTGGTGTTTCTGCCCATCATGGTGGTACCTACTTCCTGGGACAAGGTCTGAGGTGCCTGTGAGCTCTGGAGAGGGGTGTGGTGTGGCAGGAAATTCTTCATTTGTCATTCTACATCTCCTTAGACCACTAGGGACCCACTGCACTAGAGGCCCAACCAATTCCCTGTCCCAGTCTGGGGCAATGTAGAAGAGAAGGGCCCCATTTATTGAGAGAACACAATTCTGATTTTAGAAATGCTATTTTCTGTGATCCATGATTTATTCATAGAAAAGCACTGTGAGTTCACACACTTGCTAAAAAACGGCAATCGTGATACAGAAATGGGAGTGGCTGCTGCTTTTTTTTTTTTTAAACCAACCTACTGGGCTGAGAAATTGTTAGGGGCCCATGGCTGGATGGTAAGACTTAAGTAGCCACAAACAGCAAAAACGACTTACTGGTTAGTGTGGAGGGAAAAAAAAATTGACAGTTTGTCAAAGAAAGGAACATAAAGCAGAGAGGTCCTTAGTTCACACTCTAGCTATACACCCCTTCCCTATCACACCCCCCCCCTACTTCAGAACTAAAACATGAAACAGTAAACACCAAGACACTGGCATCCAGATGACTCTTCTGAAAGCCCATGCTACCTCCTATAACAATTCCAGGCTGAGCACAGGGGTTAGGAAGGTAGCAGGAACATGATACACTGCGGAGGTCAGCTAGGGCTAAGACAGGCATTGCCTACTAGGGGTAGAAACTACTCAGAAAGGGAAAGGCCAAATGCATTCCAGCCCCAGCCTCCAAAACAGTGACCAGTGGGCAGACAGAGGAAGCTTGAGGTAGAAAGGCAAGGGAAGAAAGCAAGTACAGGGCAAGAAGAGAAGTGGAGCTGAAGGAATCACTCTTAGGGTAGAGGGAGACTAGTACTTAGGAGCTTGCTGAGAAAATGGTGAATAAGGGAGGCAAAGAGATGAGGAACGTGTTTAGCTGGTGAGAGAGATGAAGAGGAATGGGGAAGAGAGATCTGGCAAAAAGAGAAGGGACACATTCATGCAGATTCTCAAACATAAATTCACAGACATAATGTCAAAATACACACAGTTATACATATAAAGACAGACCAGAGGAGAGCAAGCATACAAACACACAAACATGTTTATACACATGCATCTGTGTGCCCCCCCCAACTAAACATGCATTGACAGACAGGAACACACACAAAGGTACGTATTCTTACATGTTCACAAATGTGTATACCCTCACATACAGTCCAGCACATAGACATGTACTCACAGAGACCCAGACCTGACACAGACACACATAAATATATGTGCAAGACAGGTATGCACAGATATATCTATGCACACAGACACATGTACTTAGCCATACAGCTACATACATACACGTACATAATTAGAGATAAAACCAGACACTCTCTAACACAAAGGTGACCAGAGGAGATGAATATTATGAGCTCAGTGGCCTCCCAGACCTTTACCCTCCCCCTTGCACTTATTTCTCAGGAGCTCAACGGGCTCCTAGAGAGGCTATGTGTGGCAAGAGCAAGAGCTTTACTGTCCTTGTGGCTTTATGAGGCAAGAGTCTAAGTCCAGTCCTGGCCCTGCCCCTCTCCCACCACTGGGCTATATAGATGCCCTGTGTCTGCAGGCTGGGGTTTCTGCATAGACTAGACCTGGGATTTATTCTAACTGGCCATTGTACTCCCCACCACCCCCACTCTTCCACTGCAATCTGTATAATTCTGCAAGGGAAACCTGAGAAATGGTTGTGTCTCCTCAGAAAACAAGCCTATCTTCCCACCCATAGCTACTTCAAGTACCCATCAAATTAGAACCAGAATTATAAATAGTTACAACTTTACAATGTAATTGGCAACACATATAATATAGTATTTACAGTACCATAAATGCTTCTGTTTCTCTGGTTAAGCAATCCCTGAGACGGAACAGTGTTCTGTGTTTGCCAAGGGAGAGTGGGCCAATGCCCAGGACACGCAGGATATAGGGGCGTGAGGTGGCATGTTGTGGGGTTTCTGATTGATCTGCAGGGCCCAGCTCCTTCAGGAACAGTGGGCTGTAGTGAAAACTTTGCCGAGGAAGGCATATTGGCTAGAGTTGGACTCTCCCATGCTTAGCCCTGTGCTGCTTTGGCTTCAGCCACAGGTGCCCAGAGTCCTCTCAGGGTGGACAAATGTTTCAGTGTCCTTGGCCTGACCTGTGGTACCTGGGAGCCCAGGCTGCCCCGGCAGTGAGCTGTTTGCTTTCTCAGCCAAAGCGCTCTCGCACCAGCAGCATCAGCTTCTTCTTGCCTTTGTAGATTTGTTTGAGGTTGTCGATGAATTGGGCAAACTGCAGGTGGCCATCCTGGGGCAGCAGGAAGGTCTCCCGAGCCTTGCTCAGAAACTCAATGAACTCTCCGTAGTGGCGAGGGCTGATGTGTGTCAGGCGTGAGTGTGTAGTGTTGATATAGGCATTGATGGTGGCATCCAGCAACTGGCGCAGTGGGGCTTTGTCGGTGGACATGAGCTTCCCAGAGCTGCGGCGGCCTGGGATGCCGGCCAGGCCCGGCGCCGTCACCGTACAGCGCCGCAGGATGTCTGAGAGCACTGTGGCACAGTGCACGCTCTTCACCACCAGGGGGATGAGGGCTGCCAGCTCATTCTTGCCCAGAGAGTGGCTGAGGGCGCACGCCCAGAGCACATCATTGATGGCTGGATGGGTATCCTGGTTGTAGGCCAGGTTGAGATGGCTCATGGCCAGCGAGGCCAACTTGAAGGCACGTAGCGGGTAGCCACGGAGCTCCATGTAGCGGGCAATAGTGAACAGCTGCGCATGCGTCATGCCACCAGTGGCGGCGTCAATGGCGATCTGGTAGGCTGCCTCGAAGGCGATGTGGTCTTTCTCACAGAGTGTAAGGGCTGACAGGGCACAGCTCTGCGGATCCTTCATAGCACACTGTAGGGCCAGCGTGCGAGCACAGCTAGCCAGCTCCTCTCGCTGTGGATAGTCAAGACTGAGGCGCAGAATAGTGGTGTGGGATACAGCGGTGGCAGCCACAATGCTAGTAGCCTCAGTGGGGGTGAAGAGTGTGTACCAGCTCTGCAAAATGCTCACCAGGGCCCGCACACCTGTCAGGGAGAGCCTGAGCTCAGCCGTGGCCATCCGGGTCCCGATCCAGGTCTGCCCAGATTACCCCTTGGGGTCAGAACTTGGCCTGCAGAGATGAGTTCTCCCTCCTCCTCAGCAGCCTTGAGATGATCTGAGGCAAACCAGGGAGCAGCCCGGATGGCCAGACCCTGTTTGGGGTCTCTTCCCATCCCTTCCTTCCCCAAGTCAGAGGGTTGAAGATTACTGCAGGTGCTCTTAGCCCCTCACAAGGATGGAGCAGCAGAGCCTGTGGTTTACCTGCCCCAAGGCAGGGGTCGCAGATCTGCCTGGGGGTTCTAGCTGAAGTGGGGCCTCTCAGGGGACTTTGGGTTCTAGATGGGGTCCCAAGACTCCAAGTTGTCTGGGGTTTTTCAGAAGCACAGGCAGGGACTGGGACAAAACCACTGGGCCAACTACCTCCCAAGGGTGCACTTGTATACTGGTAGCTGAAAATTCAATCTCTCAAACATGTCTCTGATCAGAGGGTCAAAGTGCTGCTGACATCAGGGTATGGTCCAAGCAGTAAGGGCAGAGCTTGGGCTAGCTAAATAAAGGCCATCTTTCCTACCAGCAGCCCCATCCTTCCCCAGGCCATCAGTAGTAGGAATATGAGAGCTTTAAGGATTCGCTGCCTTGTTCCAAGAGTAGGGCCTAGGAACTCCTTTCCCTGGGGACAGGAGGGAAGTGGGAGACTCACCCACTTCTGTAGCACATGTCACCAACCACCGCACCATCTCCCGGCGCCTCCAGTTAAGAGTTGATAAGGTCATCCTCATCACCTGGGCAAAAAAGAGGCTTTTCCACTTGGCTAAGCATAACTGTTAGGACTTCTACATCCCCACATCCCCTTGCCATCCATTTATGCAATAAGTATTTATTGGTGCTTTAAACAGACATCTCTCTCCTGATAAGAACAGACAGGTTTAATTTCTGCCCACCCCTCCCACCAATCAGGTAGAAGGCTTCTCTGATGACCTGTAACAAATAAAGTCCTTATTATCACACCTTACTATTGATTTGACTTGGAGAGATGGGGACGGGGTGGGGAGAAATGGGAACCCTATGGAGCCTAAAGCTACATTGCTTCTGGCCTTACATTCAAAATGGAGCTCAATTTAGAGATTCCTTACCTAGAGGCCTAGCCTAGAAGTTGTGTTCTGGGGACACAGAAAGACCCGGGCTTGGCTGGTTCATGCCCAGTGCTTCTGGGATTTTATCTTCTACCGATGATCACTAGGCCAGAAGCCTAAAGCAGGGATGACCCACTCCTCCTCCATACC